GTTCCTCTGTCCATCCAATCATCTCTGCCAGGTGCTCACCTTGTGCTCTATATGCTTCCCACGGTGCCTTCCCATCGAATTCCTGTGGCTTCCTTCGTACTAGATCACCCCTTTATTGCTGAGATTCATATCTGGGATGTGACTTCTAACAGGACTGAAAATGTCTGCATTATGGTTTAGCTGCGGGTTCTGGAAGGGGCTTGCCATTGTTTGGGGTTGATTAAGTCGATGGTTAATCTATCCTCCTGGTGTAAAAGACAATAAATCATCCTTTAATGTATTTAATTCACTTTGAAATTTACTAGTGTTTTCCATTTGTGTACGCTGGTTTCTCTCAACTATTGGAGACTTTCTTCTTGTTTATTTTCTTTCTCCTCCAACCACTGCTGTAGTCTCTCTTCTTGTTCATTTTCTTTCTCCTCCAACCACTGCTGTAGTCTCTCTTCTTGTTTATTTTCTTTCTCCTTCAACCACTGTTGTAGTCTCTCTTCTTGTTTCTTTTCTTTTTCCTCCAACAACTGCTGTAATCTCTCCTGTTTATTTTGCTGTTTGAGCTGCCATTGTGCAGGTTTTGTTGCCATTGCTGTAATCTCTCTTCTTGTTTCTTTTCTTTTTTCTTCCAACTGTTGCAATCTCTCTTTCTTGTTTCTTTTCTTTTCCATCCAACAACTGTTGTAACTTCTCTTCTTGTTTCTATTTTTTTCCATCCAACAACTGCTGTTATCTCTCTTCTTGTTTATTTTCTCGTTCTTCTTGTTTCTTTTCTTTTTCCTCCAACAGCTGCTGTAATATCTGTTCTTATTTATTTTCTCGTTTCTTCGTTTCTTTCTTCTTGTTTCTTTTTTCGTTCTTCTTGTTTCTTTTGCTGTCATCAAATCTGCTAAGCTGTAGTTTGATTTGCCACTTTTCGTTTCCATTTTTTTTTTTTTTGGTCCTACTCTCTGACACCAATTTGTTATGTATCTGGTCATTTGTTAATTTTCCATATAATTTCTTTTGGATGAAACTTTAGCGATACAAGTCCTTTTGCAATACACTTAAGTTCCACAGTCACTCTAATTTAAACACATGCTATAATTCACAACGATTCACGCACTTTACTTACGGTCACTACCGTGCTTGACTCAATTGTCCGTCTCTATCTCTGCACGTCTGCAATTATCCATCCGTCACTTCTTGGCGGTCTTATATATACAAAATAGAGGGCGTCTGGCAAACACTAGAGCCTTCAGGAACCTTGGAGATACTCATTATGTGTTACCAGCGTCACGTGACTTCCGCTGTCGTAACAATATCTTGAAATTAAAGTTGTGCTTATCTAAATTAAAAATAATTTTATTTTATTGTTGATCTTACAGTTGAATAAACTTTTTAAACCATAGCAGGTTTTGCGGATTTAAATTTGAATACTGTACTTCTTAGTTCTAGTCAGTAGTAGGATATGAAATGTGTATTGAAAAGTTTAATAAGGTTTCTTGTCAATTTTTTAGCTGGAAATGTTTTTATTTATAACAGTTACATGTGATACTAACAGTGGGGGAAAATAGGATTATTATTGAGATATATAACTATGTTTTTTATTATTTTTTAAAATAATTTCTGTGATGTAACAGCAAAATAGTATAAATCAGAAGTTCTATGACTTTGAGTTATAACCAAAATTTACCAAGTAGTGTTTCACCTAGGCCTTAAGTTAGATTTATGTATGAGGCCTAATACTTAAATTACACTATAAATAGGCCTAATAGTATTATTATTATTAACATTATAGAATCAGTGTTTAAGAAGTTTTAAGTGGTGAAATGTTAATCAATAAATATTATTTTGGTATTTTAACACACATATTACCTACTTGGCCTTAAAATATAAAGAAAAATAAACGTTTATTTCTCCTAAATATCTTTTATCCTTTGTACAGTTGAAAATTTGTTTCGGAATGTTCGCACTATGTTTTCTACTTTCTGACCAAGAATACAGTGAAAAGTGTCAAAAGTGCCATTTTATCTCTTTCAGAGTGCAAATGTTCTTTTGTTCACGATAATATCTCGTTTTTCAGCATAGTTTTTACTAAAAATATGATGATTAAAGAATTACTTGGAGACTGATGAAATAAATAAAAGTGATGGATGTCTATTTTAACTTTGAGGGAACTTGTAAAATGTAAGCAACTTTATACTTATATTATGCTTTTCTCCATGATCACCATACATGTGCACTTTATGTCAAGAATTATACGTAGTATTCGTTTTCATTAGATATAGTTTCAATTAATTTTGGTCTGAACATCTTTAGAATACCTGTGGGAAAGTATTTTGACTATTGCAATTTTCAAAATTTAATACATCATTATCTAAGATACAGAAAGCTTGATGCAAATTGCTAATTTTTTTCACCCTTATAAATATATGCTTGTTTTTACAGCTTATTGGTATGAAGAAAATGAAAATTTTCCACTGTGTGGAAACAGTAGTGGTGCAAAGTAAGTCAATTTATATGGTTTGTAGTATTGACTTCAAATAAAAACTTCACAGATAGTTTAACCATTATGCAGAAACATTTTCTTTGTAAGAGTATAATATAATTGGTGGATGATATTCACTTAAAACACATTTTCACAATGTTTCAAGCCTAGAACCTTCAACATTCATGTTAGACAACTTATTTTATGTTATTGTTAGTCTATCCAGACTACACACTAAATTTATGTAGTCAAATGAGATTCCTGTAATTTAATCTTCCACCATCTTTCTCTTAAAAACAATTGTTAATTTCGTTTCATCTTTTTTGTTTTTAAACTTTTATCAACTTGTTTATTTTGCTAAACAGTCAATAATTTAAGCCCAGTTTCCTTGTAATAGTTTTTGGGCCAGATAACTTTCATAAACATATCATTTACTTAGAAGATGAAGGAATTAATCCAGATTAGTGTATATTGTGGCTTTGAAAGCTTTGCTGTCCTAAACGTTTTGTTGTTTAGCTGTTCCTGCTTTTATGGAGAACTTGAATGGCTTCCTTCTTCTCAGTCATGTGCACTTTGGCCCTCTTTGCTTAATATTCTTTGAATATTTTTCCCTATATAGGGCTGAGAGGTATTCCTCCAGTCATAAATTTACCATAGTGGACTTGTACTGTTGGATGGCTGGGAATTCACTCTGAACCAAATATTTAGGTGCTAAACATTTTACTCATGGAGCCATACCTCAGATTTATGATGATATGCTACTGCATCAGCATATGAAAATCATTCTTATAAAGTGCATTTAACTCTGTATAAAGTAATCTAAATTATGTTCTTCATAGACATTGTAAGATATATTTATGACATAGAAGTCGAAAGATTGTACATTTCTTAAGAATTTTATTGCATGGGCTAACACTTCTACTGAGTATATTATACTTTTAGCCACTTATAATGTCAAGACAATAATTTATAACTAAGAAACCATAATGTTACTCAACTGAAACTTTGGAATGTATTTTATACAGTCTACATTTGAGATACATTTAGGCATAATTTAAAAACTAGAAAATAAAAATAGTTTCCTAATTATTTACAATGATTATTTTTCAAATTACAGCAGTTTTGCATGCATTTCAAACAATGCATGCACAAAATCACATACATGTACTTTTGCAGTTTTTCTTCTGTACATTAATTAAGGTAATCTTTCCAACAATAGTTATGACTGTAATAAAATAATTGTTTCTTACACGAAATGATGAAAAGAATGGATATTGTATTACCTAGATTAAATGATATTTTTATATGTCACACCTTGAGGTTGTATGTATAAAGTGTTTAATGTTGCTTGTTACTATAATAAGTAATTTTCAGACTGGCTTGTAGGGTTACTAAAGTTATCAAGTGGAATATGCTCTTCACTCTCTGAGATTATAGTATATTTAATATCAAACATCACAAGTATAAATTTCCAGAAAGCAACATAATTTAGTGTTGATTTTTTTTTTCATTTTTACAGCAACAGTTGTAAAGTTCTAGTTCATTCTGATAATGTACAGCTGTACACAATATAAACATTCTATAATACGTGTAGTACTACTATAAAGGTAAAGAGGAATCAGTTATTAAAATATTCTATATTCAAGTATATACAGGATGTAAGTAAATAAGAAACTAAAACATTAGTGGATTGAAAAAATGTATGACGTTAAAGCTATGCAAGATTTTTTAAGCAGTTACTGAGATAATGTTTAAAGATTGCATTAAAACTTGTTGTTGTTGTAGAATCTGCCCAGAAGGATACGTATGTCTTCAAGGTATAGGGGATAATCCCAACTATGGTTACACAAATTTTGACAATTTTGGGTGGGCCCTTTTATCAGCTTTTAGACTCATGACACAAGACTGCTGGGAGGCTCTATACCAAATGGTAAGCAACCAATGTAACATTCTATCCTATCGTACAATGTATGTATTTGTATATATAGGGTTAATTGATTATGATGGTAGATGTATAATTAAAACAAAAGGTTGTGAATGTGAGTTAAATATTCATTTTCATAGTATATTTACTTTAATATTTTATATATGAGTTTTTGAAAGACATTATTTGAAATAAAAGATTTCTCATGAATGTTTTAGCTAAAAGTACTAATTCCTGGGTAGTATCCAAATACCATATAAGCAACTAATTTTCTGATATGAAATGTTTCAAGTTTGCTGTTTATTTATTATTTTTTCTTTTAGGTGCTAAAATCTGCAGGTCCTTGGCACATGCTCTTCTTTGTATTCATTATTTTCCTTGGGTCATTTTATTTGGTCAACCTTATCCTAGCTATTGTGGCCATGTCCTATGATGATCTTCAGAAGGCAGAAGAAAAAGAAGCAGCAGCTGAAGAAGCTGCAATAGCTGCAGAAGAGGCAGCAAGACTAGTAAGATTAGGGATTTGTAAATCATTCATTGTAAATAATACTTCCCATGATACTGTAGTGTTTCTTTACTTCACACGCTATATTTTCTTGTTAAATTGATGTAACACATGCATGTATTGTGTACATGTACACAGCATTTAGAGGGTGATTATAAAAAAAAATGCCTCATATCTATATTGATTGTAATTATTTTTTAATAATATCTGTTCCAGTGGAACAAAATTTCACCAGAGACACTTTGGGAATCACAAGTATTGTTATGCCTCTGTGTTCGTTTGTTAATTTCCTGTATAATTTCTTTTGGATGAAACTTTAGCGATACAAGTCCTTTCTCAAATAAAACTAGTTTATTCTTTCTCAATTCATCTTTGCAATACATTTAATTTCCACAGTCACTTTAACTTAAACACATGCTATAATTCTCAACGAATGATTCACGCACTTTACTTACTACCGCTCTTGACTCAATTGTCTGTCCATATCTTTAATCTCTCTGTCTTTTATTATCTATTATGCCGTCACTTCATTTGCCGGCTTATATATATATAAAAATAGAGGGCACGTAGAGAAGACTAGAGTTGCCACGAACAGACATGATCCTTCTAGAATCACGTGACTTCTGCTGTCATAACAGTATTATTCAGGAAAGTGTGTACAGGATGGTTAGAAGCCATGTTGAATACTGCATACTTAAATCATTTTTCTTACAAATTAGTATTGCTTTTGTTTTTCTTCCATCTTTCATCAGTACAAGATTTCAATAAAATGTGTGTTAGTACAAAGGATGCTGCAAGGATCAGTGAGCAGTGTGCAGGTGATGCTTGCAGTTATTTAGGGAAGATGCCTTAATATGGTAATTGTAAATAATGGAAAGCATAACAGTTTTTGAAATATCACATAAGATATAAAAACAACAAAAGGCCTGTTTGTTGATCTAGGCCACCCCATTCCCTAAACTTTAAATTAGGAATAAAACACTCAAAGCCAGCTGTTATCAATCAAATATTTATAAAACCTTCTTTTAAACACACTTAAATTAACTACATCCAAAATATAGGGAGGCAACCACCCTGTTAAAAAAATAAAACTATTAGCTGAAGATGACTTCTACACTACCAACATTTATATTTGTGATCCTAGTCTTATTACACTCAACATTAAGGATGAAAAAGATGATGTATAAACACTGTCAATTACCTTAAAATTCTTAAACACCTCAGTCAGATCCCCTCTAAATCTTTTTTTTTTTTTTTCAGGAGACCTTAACCTGTCCTTGTATCACAACCTTTCCATTCCAGAAATAATCCTAGTAGCTCTCCTCTGAATCCTGTACCATGGCTAAGCTTTTCTGCATAAATTTTGTGGTTCTCAATGTGCCTGTGGTGAAAATTAATTCTCCTGAGATAAATATATTAATTTTAAATATACAGTATTAATAGTAGAAAGTTAATGTCACTGTTCTACAAAAAGGAATAATAAAATTAATTAATTCTTGATTTTCTGGTTTTTATGCAATTACACATAAGTGAAATGTTTATATGTATGTGTGTATATATATATATATATATATATATATA